AGATGATTGCTCTGCCGAGAGTCAGTGCTAAAAAATCGCAGCATTTCCAGAGCATTTAGGTGTTAAAAAATTCATAGTTACGAACTGCGCAGTCCTTTGGTTATCACTGTAAGCTTAAGAGCATTTGTGTTGATTGATCATGTTATAAGGTATTTTTCCTGCCTTCCTAGCGTGCCGTCGTGGTGTAGTGGTTCTGCACGCTAGGCCGGTATTCGAAAAGTCCATGGTTCGATTCCCGCGAAGGCATTTGCTAATTTATTATCTTGCCTGCTTCCAAAAAATATCCTAATGTCTCTACAGTCGCGTCCGAACTAAAAGGGTGTTGGATGAGGATTCTCCACATCCAGGATTTGGCGATTGGGTCCTCTAAAAACTCCAGTCGTCCTTTAAAAAGGGGAGTATATAAGGTATTTCTCCCACTTTCCTAGCGTGCCTTTGTGGTGTAGTAGTTCTGCACGCTGGACCGGTATTCCAGTGGTCCGTGGTTCGATTCCCGGTGAAGGAGGTTGCTATTTTTCATCTATCTTGCTCCAAAAAAAAAATCCTAATGTCTCTACAATTCCGTATTACATCAGTTAAAACATAGTTCTGACCTGTTTCTATAACGAGGCGTAGCCTACGTCACAGAAAGACGTGTTCAATCCTAAGACAATTAAGCAATGTCTACAACTTGTGAATCGCCTTGCAGTCTTCAGCCTTTATTTCTTACTCTATAACAGATTCTGATGTCTAGTGGGGTGGCGCGCAGAAAAGTAGTCCGCCTTCAATTCCCGTACCAAACATTTCGGAAGAAGCCGTGACCTCTTGCTCTTTGTCTGCTGAGTGTCCGCTTAAGCGACAATTTGGTGTCGCCAAACAAAGCAGAGTTCTAGCTTTATTTTGTCTTCCCATTCACTCCTTGTATGCACATTTAGTCAGAAAGCTCGTCTTGTCATATTATCGCTAAGGACGGGCCACTTCTTCGTGGGCTACCACCCTGCATAATTTCTTTCACCTACTTAGCTGGTAGCCAGCCTCTATATTTCTTGGCATATGTCATATGTCATATGTCATATGTCTGACAATAACTTGAACCAAACTTAATGCGGGGGCAAGTATTTTAATGACGTCGCGTTGAAACCTTTTCAGTAAACTTTTAACTTTTTCTTTGGAGGGTTCTTAACTCTCAACTGCATTATTGAATAAACAGTAGATTATTAAAGAAACTGTCTGTTCTCTGTAGCAAGCCTCAGTTACAGTCTTGGAATAATGAGAATAAATTAGAAGTAGGTTTTTCAAATTTCTTTCAAAATAAATAGGAAAGTTACTCTTTAAATAATTCAATACAGACTAGACTATAAATAAGCTAGGATCAATAAAAGTGGTGAAAAACACGAAGTAGATCAAAAGTTGAGCTACTATGTGTTAAATGTTTCAAGTTGGTATGCAAATGAAGTAGAAACAACGCAACGTTGAAAAACGAGAGAGGCCTCTGAAAATTTTAAATAATACATACAACAAAGATAATAAATAATTAAGAATAGATTTTAACGAATTTCTATGCATTCCTAACTTAAACTTCTTGCTTAATGTTCCAAGGAACTTAAGAATTACTCAAATATTCAATCTAATGTAAAGCTTTAATTGTTCAATTTAACATAAATTTCTAAACTTGCAAGGAACTCTTCTACACCTGACTACAAGTATAACTGCTGCATTAATACTTTATGCTACCCCACCAACAAAACAGTTCATCCATTTGGAAATTGTGCTTATTCGTCTAACTCTGCCAAATGAATTCCTAATTGCACATGAATCTATATTCATTCAAATGCCCCAAACATGTCTGTTAGGAGCCGTCTTTGTAAGAAATGGCAACGATAGTGAGGTCAGCTATGTGGTCAAAGGACTGTTCAGCTGTGTAACTGGCAAGGGGCTGTTAACTGTTAATTGGCAACGGCCAAGTGCTTTCAGGGGGTTAATGCATGTGTTATTCTTTAGATCAAAATGAAGCTATCTTCTTCAGGGTTCTCGAAAATTTCGCAACTGTTCGGTGTAGGTAGATATATATATATATATATTGCTAGAATACTGGTACCAACATTGTGATGGATATTTTATGAAATAAATAAAGATGATAAAAATCTAATTAACATTTACAAACACAATACACGCGATTATATATTTACAAATACAATTATACTGATAATCAGCTCAGAGCAGTTAAATCATACATACAATAAAGCGTTACTTTTATGTATAACGTTTCAAGGTATTAGAAGTAATAAGAAAATCAAAAAATTAAAGATAACTGGTTAGGAGCTTCTAATTAAACATAACTATTCTATTTTGTGAAAATTCTTACAAAGAGCTGCAAGTAATAGCAGAATAATGTGAAAACCATTTTGTGCTTATTCGTCTAAAATTTGTTTTACTTTCATTTCAAATACTCGGTATTCAGATAAAACAGATATAAAACTAGTGAAATATAATGAAGATAGTTTAATTTGATCCATGTATTTATTTCAGCCCTGGATGATGCTGCTGAGCAATTCTACCAGGATTTCATGGTGGGCATGGAAGAAGCTCCATCCCTCAAGGAGACCCTAGGACTTGATCACTACTATGCCGACGAGTGAGTTATGTTAAAAAAAAGTTCTGTTGTTTCTGTCTCTTTAATGCAGTGTGTCAACTATATAAAAATACACACATTTGCATAAAACTCTTTGATATATAGAAGGCCTAGTACTAGCTCGCTTTTGTTGCCGCCATCTGTTAGAGAGGTTGGGAAGTGCGGTGCCATGGGTGGTTCAATGAGCTTGAGAGATAAATAATTTTGGGAATCTAACTAAGGTCTACGAAGTCAAATATAGTTATGCGATGTAATAGTGATAGCGGCAACCTTGTTTCTGTTTCTTGGTGTGATTGCTAACTGGCCATTGAACCTCAGCATACATTTATAATTACATTTCTCTGATTTGAAACCCAGCTTTTCCATACCTGTTTCTAATCCTTTTAACATTTTTCATTGCTAAAAGTGTAATATTATCCTTACTTTATACTTGTTCTACAGAAAATAATGTTTCCAGTAAATTCGTTTAAGAGTACAGATAGAAAAAAAGCATAGTGAATCAAATGCTCACAAATAAAAATTTCGCTAAAATTTTATTGAATAAATAAAAATTCCGCAGATCAAATTTCTCTATGTAAAAAGCATTTAAGATCTCTTAATATAATTGAAAAAATTTTTAAAACATCTCCTAATTATATTTTTCATTTTCGTATAAATATTGCCTAGGTAGGCTTGAAAACCTTTATGCCCCTTTAAAAATTTAGCTATTTTTGATTAATGTGAAACATGTCTTGATAGACTTCGTGAAGGAAAGATCAACATTATCTATTATTTTTAATTTAAAAAGGAATCGCGTTGTAAGTAGTGTTATTTAGTCTAGTCAACTGGGAATTACACGATATTTAAAAACTGAAACATTATTGGATAGCTTTTTTAGAATAACTATTTGCATAAAATAGTGATTAATTATATTGGACAAATATATCTTTTAATCTTTAAATATAATATCAACAAAATGTCTCATGGTACAGTAAAAAAGAATTTCAAAGTATGCACACATTTGGCTTCAGTTTCGTTGGAGCTTATTCCAATGTTGAAAAAAATGTTGCTGTTACGGTGATGAATGTTGCTGTTACGGTGATGAATGTTGCTGTTACGGTGATGAATGCGTTCGCCAACCCCGAATTTAATTATCTACAAAATATTGCAGAAACATACGCAAAGACAAAATCAGTATTACACAAAATACGCAAAAAACAAACATAAAATTATAACATAAATGTACGAAATAAATGAAAACAATTATCAATAAAAACAATAAAACAATAAAAACAATCACTAAAATACAAGATAATGAAATTATATGCAAATAGCCACACATACTTACATAATTTTGCATCAAAATTTAACAAAATCATCTAAATTGCGAAGTAAAGGCCTAAACCTTTTGGGTTCTTGTAAGATTGTACTATAAAAAATAATTTTGATAAAAACCTAAGGCAAATTTTAAACCACTTCTCTCGGCTTGTAAAAGACTTCGTATTTATGGATGATAATATTATTATTTTTCGATGTTTAATCAGTTTTCATGAAGTTCATGAAAAGCTTCATTTATTAAGCTTTCCATATGCTAAGATTTTCTTATTTGATTATTTTATAACATCGCCAAATAATGAAACAATGGTTCCCATAAATTTCAATTTAGGATTATTAAATGCTTTGAATCAGCACTATCAGCATGTAAAATTACAGATCTAATTTCAGCTCAGTTTTGTAATAATATTTTGTACTGAAAGGTCTATAAATTTTCTTGTAGAACTGAAGATGAAATCAAAACTGAACTAGGTAGGAAACTAAAGGAATACCTGGAAGAGCTTTTGCAGAAGATCAAGGACGCTATAGATCATGGTAAAACTGTTAGGGAAGACCTTATGGATAAGGTAAGATAAAAATCGATTTTGTTTAATTTTCGCGGAAAATTTAATCTATTTTTCTTCTCTCTACGATAAGCATAATTTGAATTTCATTTCTTTATCATAAGCTTAATAAAATATGTAAAATTCTCAGCCAGGAGGAAATGCGGTCAGCCTTTTATTTACCTGTTAATTAAGTATTTAGTTTTAGTTTATGAATATAAAAATACTTTCATTCAGTTTTGGTATTAATCAAAATTTGTACACTTTTTGTTGTTTAATTTATAAAACACGTTAAAAAATCATCTAAATATAGATAAATATATGCATTAATTTTTCGAGTTTAGGATAATCTAGCAATGGTGAAACGAGTGAATGGGGGGAAAAAAAGGACAAGAACCTCTGCTTTAAACACATAAAAGGTACTTGCAGTTTTTGAAGGAATGTTAATATACACCAAATTAGACTCTTCGATCTTCTTGTTACGTTTTTATTTTTACTCTAAATTTATTAACCAACCACCTTAATACCTCGATAGATTTCAATTTTCATTACTTAGCAACTGAATAAATTTTTCATTCACCATGTTTTATTATCACTTGATAACTAAATATTAGATGATTTAGGGAACTTAACTAAACAGCGTCTCGGATAACAAGAAAGAGAAACATTTCAGTTATTTAAAGTTAACACTATAATTCATATAAAATTAAACCTTGCATCAAAATATTATTTAATTATTTTTCGATATGCAAATTTAATTAATTTCTCTTCTGTCTATCTTATAAAAATTACTCATGCATGTCTCTACTTTTTTAAGTAAATTTTTTGGAACTGAGCCACATTTTAAAATTCCTTTATTTCACTTGAATACTTGCTTTTAAACATAACCTGAAAACTTTATAAGAGCTCTAATTTGGGGTATTTCTGAGGCATTATTCAAATTTAGACACAAAATCAATTTCCTGCTAGTTCAACGTCTTTCGTATAATGCTGGTAATTACGCCCAGCAGAAACAGAACAGCTTCATTTTGATGATGATGTTTGATGGAGGAAATTAGCCTTTCTTAAGACATTTATTTAAATAACGGAATCTTTCACAGTTCCTTAGATGAAGCCTAGTTTAGAAACTATTCGTTTATCATCTCCTGACCTGCAATAACATTATTTATCTTACCAATTTCATTTCAGACTTTATCTTGAGGTGAACAGTCCGCTGAAATTAGAATTCTCGCCGCTGAAATTAGAATTGAATATAATTCTTCATTTATAATGAATTTCCGCCCACTTCTGAATGGAATCAATCAATTATCTGCTGATATTCGAACCACTTGACTGATAGAAATAACTGTCAACGAACTTTAGTTTAATCATTTTCTTCCCTTTTCGAACCATTTGCCCAAAATTTTGGATGCCAGTATGCCCGTACTCTTCATAGTCATCTAAAATTCAGTAAAATAAATTGTTGCCTCTAATATATGATTATTTTTGTTTTTTCGCTCTTAATAGCTTTCGTTAAATGGTGTGCTATTGCATAAACATTCCTAGCATTTAAATGAAGCTGTTATAGCTCTGAAGGTTACCATTATCAATTTCAAACTTTTGTATGTTTGTCTTGGTTAGCTCATTATCTCCAAAACTAGAGCTTTTATTAGAAGAGTGCTAGAAAAGTTCGATTACAATTTTAGGAGGAAAAGGATTGTTTTCCCTCCCACGCAAGGCCCTAATATTCTTTCTTTGCTATTTCCTGCGCATAAATTGGCCTTTTTTTTCTGTGCGTGTACCTCTTGGTTGTTTGTGTGCCATGTAGTATTTGTAATACCAGAAACTGCAGCAAGATCTCGAAAAACGTAACAAAAACCAACGCATCCGGTGAAATTGGCTGCCCTAGCAAATTGGTTGAGTTTTTCGCCTATTAGCAGAAGCCATGGAGGTAGGAAGTTAGATGGAGTGGCCCTAAACCGGTTTTCTCATATCCTGCTTTGAAGCACTGGCGATGCCTTCTTTGGTGACCAAAACATTGGGTAATTTACCATCGAGTTCAATGGGTTTTGACACAATCAGATGTAAATATTTTGTAATTACGTCGTAAATATGCATATAAATGTATATATTTTGTTTTTCTACAATACTTCAGAGTCTTATGTATATGAAAAGAATACATTTTTAAACAACATTTCATTCTGAACGGAATTAAATGCTATACTTTTCACAGAACAGTTTGCTCAGAATGGTTTTGTTGGAAATATTTTTAAGTTAATTACATTACAATAATATTTCGTTAATTACATTAGAAAAAAATTGAAGGTAATTCAATTTGATTCGGTTAAGGATTACAAAAATTAAGCTCAAAGTTTATTGTATTATTAAAATTATGCATTATTTCTTTTCTATTTATAGAGCTTCTTCCTAAATACTTTCTCAAATATGACATGATTTTTAAGCTTCTAAGGCATTTTTAAATCGAAAACTATAAGTCAGTTTATAATTAATGCTCTATTCGATCCATTTCAAATTAGAGCACCTTTTAATTTAATATCGAAATACTTTAAATATTAATAATATTTATAATATTAACTTTTTCTGAATATTTCTGAAAGGGAATAAAGTAAGGATTATTTTTTAAATATTATTTAAAACTTGTAACTGACTTATTATAAAATGTAAGGGGACTAATTCTTTTAATTATACTTATTAGACATTCTTTACCCTTAACTAAATATTAGTAAATAATAACCCTTAACTAAATATTAGTATATAATTTTAATTTCAACAATACATATTCCAAAACTCTTCTTTATTACTTCTTAAATACGCATCTCATAGAAATTGCTTTACAATACCTTTTAACAGATTGCTTTCCAGCACGAACAATTCTTGCTTAAATAGTTTTATAACGTATTTGTCAACAAGATGTCAATTTATGTTTACAATTCAATGTTAAGGTTATTATATATTTAGATAATATTTATAATCATTATAAATTTAGATACATACATTTAATAATTAAATTTCTTCACAGTAACTTTCACGGTTACTCGTATGAATGAATAAATCCTTCATGTCAAATACATTTATAAATAATTTAATAATAAATATTTACTTATTTTGTTAAAGGCACATACATGCTTTTTGAAAGCACATGCATAAATACCCATACATATTTCATATTTTTCATTTCCGGCATGTGGAAATCTTTAATTTTTGTGCGTTCGCTATATTTTTTGAGTAAAGTAATTTACACTAATTTTAAAAAGTACATGTTACAATAATATGTGGATGTGAAAAAAATTTATTTTATTTAAAACATTTTGGCGTCTGGAACATAACATAAAAGTAGCGAATACTGTATTAAAGCTATCGAAAAATGTACACAATTTTAAAGGTGCGGTGAGGTATTTTTCATTCTTTAAGCATAACGTTTTTGCTAAAACCTATATTTTTATAGTTCAACAGCTTAGAATTTAATGAAAAAAATTCATAATCAAAATCGCTATTGTTAGTTATCGAAAAATAACCAAGATGGGATTTTTTGCGTAAATGTCGCTAAACTATACAAATTGCTGTTATCCATCATACTAGGAACGTTTCTTTTATGCGGGAGTGTCTCGTTTTTTCGATTTGTATGGAACTGTCTTGTGTCGAAATGCTATCAGAGCGCTGTCAAGCGAGATTCTGAATGTAAACAAAAAACAACCCATCTGGTGACCGAAGCTTCGAAGTTGTGCTTCACTTCTAATGCCGATTTGACCACTCTTTCCTTTCTTACCTCCATGGCAGAAGCCCCGGAAAGGGGGGGGGTAATGGTAGCTTAACACAAGCACACAGTACTTAAAACCGCGGTTGTTGTCTCATTCTTATCTGAGATGCTCTTTAAAATTTCATTACCTGAGCAATAATTCTCACTAGAAAAGTATAAAATGAAATACTTCTTTTAATTATCTGTAAAGTAATTGCATTACCAAAGCTGGAGTTTGGATGGCAAAATTTTAATCCTTTTTATGAAAAATTGTGACTTTTTTTCCGCCTTCCAGACGCATTGCTGCCATCCTTGAAGTAAAAAAAACTGGGAGGTTCTCGCTCAAAAACTGGGAATTTCCTGAAAGTTTTCGCACTATGTGGCAGCACCGTTTCAAAGAATTCCAAACTGACTTAAAATCACTTTATAGTGCATGATTCGGGTTACTCAATCACTTATAAAACAATTCTGATGTAAAATTCTTCGATTATCAATTAGATATTTCAAATTTTATGTTACTGGGCTAATTTTATTTGGTAATTTTCTCATACTTTTATAGTGAGATACGTACTATTTTTAAAATTTTTATTTATCAAAGTAATTTAAATACTATGAAATCAAAATCACTAATTACTGTACATACTATTATATATGTGGATAAACTGGTAATATACCATTTATTGATGAAAAACAAAATTGCATAAAAATATTATTGATTTTAAATCTTCGTAAAAATATCTAAAACTGTCCAGAGTACATTAGGGCAGTTCAGATTAAATTAAATTCAGCAGGAAAAATTATGCCAATTTATAGTTAGAAAACGTTTTCCTTAGTGCTTTTCTTCAGTAAGGGCTAAAAATTAAAAAGTCGGAGTCCGAGAGATGTGATGAAAAACTGAAACAGTTGACAGCTTATGGTAAAATTTTTCGAGATAAGGGACGATAGTTCGTACTCTATCCACTGGTACCAGAGCTGTAAATAAATTTTTCAATCTACAGTGCAAAACGAAAAAAGGAAAACGAACCGATTTCCATGATTTAAAAAATCGAGAAAATAATTAAGAACAAAGAAAAACTATGTAAAGCATTTTGGTGAAATTTTGCGGGGGGAAAAAATAATGTTCTTCCAATTTTAGTACGAAGTTCATTTTTGCTCCACCGAAGTCTTAGAAAATTAACGTTCGGCGAAAATTTGTTACCCTAAAGTAATAGTTCTATTAAAAAAAAAAAAACTGCTCGTGTTTTCTGCCTTAAGCAAGTTTTGATTGCGGAGACTGTTTTCCTCTGTATGTAAACTTGTGCAGCCATGTATAATTTCCCTACATAGTGTTAATTTGCCATCATATTTGCTTAATTTATATTACATGATTCTTTCCATGAAAATTCTATCAAACCAGATATCGCAATTTTTCTTCTTTCATTTATGGAAGCCATTGCATTATTTACTATAATAATCTGAGTTCTTAGTTTTGAAATTTTATATATGATGTTAATAAATAATAAACTTATCACTTTCATGGCTTCCGTGTACAGCTGAGAGAACTAAGGGAGAAGATGAAGGAACTGCGCGTTAAGGTTGGTGATAAAGCCAAAGATCTGATGGAAAAACTTAAAGAAAAAGCAAGGGACTTTGTCCGCGAGTTACTTGATAAACTTGGACTGGAAAAGTCAAAGCGATCCGAAGAGGAAATCGAGGCTGCTCTTGCAGATTTTAATATCAAGGATATCTTCAAGAGGTTGAGGGACTATGTGAGTATATTTTTTGAATAAGAACAATAAAGCATCAGTAGAACAATAAAGCATCAGTAGAACAATAAAGCATCAGCTTAATTTTGGCTCCACTAATACACACACAGCAGTCCTGCATATTATGTTGTCACGTGATTCCCTAACTCCTCTCGTTTTTCTGTTTAGGAAGTTAGTCTCCTGTTTAGGAAGTGTTTATGTACTTTGCATATAACCTATTCTTATCCTCCTATATACCTTAAATTATGCCTAGATTACTGCACATCTACAGCATTCCCATCCTCCTATATACCTTAAATTATGCCTAGATTACTGCACATCTACAGCATCTAATACATATATCTATATATATCATATAAGATTCTATATACGAAGGTTACTTAGGCAATAAGTTTTTAATTTCTGAGATATGAAAATTAATTTAAAATTAACCTTTCAAACCTAATAATTAACCAAAAGTTAGAAAACTAATTTGCGAGCCAGTGCTCTTTGCAACTCTTTAACGATTGCTAAGACATGCAATTCCAAATCTAAAGTCAAGCGCATATTTATTAGCCATTCCTGGGCGTTTTACAAACTTAAAATAATAATGCCAACTAAAACGATGGTTTTTCGACATTGTAAACAAGCCCGTTTGTCCTGATGGATAAATTACGAATTTTGTAAGGAAACAAATATATAATAACAAACTATGCACATTTTAATACAAATAAAAATGAATACAACAAAGTGCTTCTACGAAAATTATTTGTGAATAATATTCTTCCATTCTACCTGCATTACTTTATAAAGTATTTTTAATTTATACTTTTTCTCATCCCATAATCTTTTATTATTTTATTTCTCTAGCTGTTGAAAGATGTTAACAAAGAAGAGTTGAAAGCAAAGGTTGAAAAAATCTTCGGTAAAGGTAGTGAGGTAAGCATTTCTCTTATTCTAAAAATGTGCAATATAATACTACCCCTCCATAAAAAAAAGGCGCAATGATCGAATTTGAGGTGTTTGAGCCAGCCATAGACAAACCATGGATATTATAACAAGGAAAATAACCGATGTCCTTCTTTTTCTGTATATATTCTAAATTTACCCTTTCTCAGTCCACCAATATGGTTAGTGAAGTAGAACAATAAAGTGATATTATAATACAAGGTAATCAAAAAAGTTATTGCTGTTTCTGATAGGACTTTTGAAGAGTGAACCCCATCATAAAAATAGCCGCCAAACCTGGCGAATAAGTGGTAAAAATGAAAGTTCGGACATTGACCAAGAATATAAAAGCGCGTTGCATCGGTACTTCAAATAAAACTCATTCAGCGACTGATTGAAATGACGCGTCAAAGGCGTTCGTTCGGAGTTGTTCGCTGTATGATTTTAAAGTAGGCCTGTCAGAAGCAGAATCAAATCGCCGAATTTTCCAGGCCTTTGGGAATGATGCCGTTAACGTACGAACTGCTAGGCAATGGTTCCAAAAGTTCAGGGTCAGGGGATATGTCTCTTAGTGATGCACCACCCAGCGGTCGGCCACAAGCGCTAGAAGATGAGGCCCTGAGAGCAGCCATAGAGAGTGACAATGGCCAAACATGTGGTGAGCTTGCTCCACAACTTCCAAGTATCTGATGAAACGATAAGACTCCATTTTCACCGCATGGGAAAGGCATACAAGCTGAGCAATTGGGTACCCCACTCACTGTCCGATGCAAACAAGCAACAGCGTATCGCTACCTGTTTGTTATTGCTTACTGGGCACCGCAATACATCCTTATTTGATCGAGTATTCACCAGCGATGAAAAATGGGTCCAGTATGACACATCTAGGCGTCCCAGACATCGGTTGTCACCACGGAACCCTGTGCCTCACACTGCGAGACCTTCTCTCCACTCACGCAAGATCATGCTCTGTATCTGGTGGACAAGTCGCCAAGTGGTGCACTATGAGCTCCTGCCAGTGGGCCAAACCATCACGACAGGCCTGTACTCGCAGCAGTTGGAACGTGTGCATCAGGCACTGATGCATAAAGAGCCAGCATAAGTTAATCATAAGGGTGTACTCCTCTTCCATGACAATGCGATGCCGCATGTGATTCGGGAGGCCAGGGACACCATCCAGCGACTGGACTGGGAGACACTACCCCATCCACCACACTTTCCAGACCTCGCGTTAAAAGACTACCACCTTTTCCATTCCCTGGGAAATCCTTCAACAACCGGCCAGACCTCGAAAAGACCCTCACGGACTTCTTTGCGTCCAAGACACCTGAGTTTTACCACGATTGCATTACACAGCTAGCCACTCCTTGGCAAAAGAAACTGGATTTCAATGGTGATTACTTTGAGGATTAGTTGTGATTATTATTTGTTTTATGGCTTTTTCTTTCTGACTGTCCAAAACGGCAAGAATTTTTTTGGTTACCTTGTAATATAATCAGTGACATGCGCAATAAAATAAGAAGTAATTACATGACTTTTCAAGTATAAGAAGAGAATTTATTCTTCTAAAAATATTTCTTTGAATTCCAGATGTATGAGTAAAAACTAAAACAGCATCTCCCAGCAATGCTAAAATTGTATACTGGCACTTTTTCTATCGAGGTACAGATTTACAGCTTTGTTTTTTATTGCCATTATACACTGGTCATCAAAATTAAAGGATAATGAGAAAAAATATGCTCACTAAGTTAATGTTGCAACCAATGCCCAATGCTGTAATTATTTATGTTAATTAAATACAACTAAACACAAAATTGCACTTCCGAGCATACGTTAGCACCAAAAATATGCAAATTCGGTGATTGACAATGTGGTACACAATGGAATGGAAACACGCTGAAATTCCTGTCCGTAGTGTTCTTTAAAGTGAATGTCGTTTCTGAGTTTCTGAGAGTGATCAGTATTCAGTAGTTATGGCTCAAAGGCATCTAAGTGAAGGTCAAATGAGGCGATTAATTGGTAGAATCGAGGGAGGTCAAACACAAAGAGGCAGTCCAAAATTTAAATATCTGTCAAAGCGTCATCAAGAGTTTGGGGCCGCTTTTTAAGGACTGGATCAGTTGATAATCTGCCTAGTCAAGGGCGACCAAGAGCAACAACTGCATTAGAAGATCGTTTTCTGTCGTTGTCGGCTCGAACAAACCGCGAAGCGACTACAAGAGATTTGGTTTTAGACCTTCCGGCTGCCACAGGAACTTGAATTAGCCATTATATTGTTGCATAAAGGCTTAACGAGGTTGAACTGTGTGCGAGAAAACCTATGGTTTGTGTCCCACTCACTCCAACTTCCAGAAGGCCCCATTTAAATTGGTGCGATCATTATGTTCAATGGAACCAAGACGACTATGTCCGAATATTGTTTACTAACGAGTCCAGATATAGTCTAAACATTTATTTTAGACGCATTTTGTGCTCTTTCTTGTCCGCGAAATATCTCGTTTCCGTGAAATATCTTGTTTCTGCGACTGCGGTTTAATTTGTGGAGGAATCAAGAAAAAGAGCCGCACCGAGCTGTATATCTTTCAAGGAAGCTCTGTAATCGCTAGGTGATATGTAGACAAGGTATTGGAACCTCAAGTTAGACTGCTAAGGGCTGCTGTTGGTCCAGACTTTTTGCTAATGGAAGACAATGCTTGGCCTCATCCAGCATACGTAGTGTCAGAATACTTGCAAACAGAAGATATCACTCGAATGGCTCGGATTCAAGTCGGAACAGTGTGGAATTTCAGGGTGAGCCGAATTTCAAGGTGCTAAATTCCTCCCCGGACCCTCTAAGAGCTGAAATCTGAACTTTTAGATGAGTGATGTGCAGTTCACAAGACTTGATCAACACTTTGTTAAAGTCTATGAATCTAAGATGTGAGGTTGTAGAGCTATTAGCTTATTTCGAAGCAAGGATGAAAAATGAGCAATGCCCTCGCAGGGACACGAACCACGGACCTCTCGAATACGCATTGAACGTCTGACCACTACACCAAGAAGGCATGCTAAGAAGGCGGGAGAAATACTTTATATACTCCCCCTTTTTAAAGAGCGACTGGAGATTAGGGGACCCAGTCGCCAAATCCTGATAGTGGAGAAACATTACAATATTCATTAGAAGCTTTTCTTCACCAAGCTTTTCTTCGGGCGCCACTGTAGAACTATTAAGTTATTTCGAAGAAGGAGAGATGAAAATGAGCAATGCCTTCGCCGGCACTCGAACCACGGATCTCTCAAAAACGAGCCCAGTGTGCTGACCACTACACCACGAAGGCATGCTAAGAAGGTGAGAGAAATACCTTATAAAGTATGCATATCTTATACACCATATTAAAAAAAAGGTTTTCCACAAGCAGCTACGTAATTTTTCCGTCATTTTCCAATTTCCATAAATTTGGTTTTAATTTCAATATTTAGCGAATAATCAACTGCCAAACATTATAGTTTATGTTAACTAATTCTTTTATGCGAATTTTTCATTAAGTATCAGTTACGTTTTATTTTTATAATTAGCCTTTAATTTTGATGACCAGTGTATTAAACTATGTTAATTGGTTATGTAGGAAAAAATTCTCTATAGGTTCTCTGATAGTTCACTGAAGTTTTTCCGAAACTCATATGCGAAAATCTCAAAAAATGAAGCCACTTCTTTAGGGTTCAGTTTCTAATGAATATTGTAAACTGCACTCTATTCATTTATTTAAATACAAATTATTTATAAAATATACAGACCAGTTGCTATTCTGCATCAAAAATTGGCCTTTTTCAACTATTTCGTCATAGAAAAGCCCTGAAATAACTATTAGCTATTGAGTTAAGATCTATCGAATACCTGATAATTCCATTATAAACGGATCTTTTCAGATTTCATTCGCGTGAATAATTCTAATTACAAATTTATTCTCTTACAGATGGGTGATGCTTTGTTGGAACTCATCAACAAAAAGGGCGAAAAATACAAGCAGAAACTCCTCGACTTAGTTGACCGATTTTTGGGCAAAAAAGAAGAGAGAGCCTTGGCACACCGATCTCTGCAAGACTACTGGGAAAAAATAAAAGAGTATTTTAAGGACCTCCACATTACACTCAAAGAAAAGTACATGAAATTCGGCGAATGGGTCAAGAATGCCATCGACAAAGGTCTTGCCAAATCCAAGGATAAGCTTGAAAACATCAAGAGCATCGCACGTGAGGTTAGTCACAGAAAATTACTAATCTTACAATTGTTCCTAATTACTTTATTGAACTTTAAGTTCCTAATCTTTTTTTCAACATAAGGTGTTATTGCTATTAATCCTACTGATTTGAAGACAATATAGATCAAATCCATAAATTCCTCATAACCACAAGTAAAAGAGCGCCTGTTGTGCTGGCCAAGGTCTCGGGCACCTCGCAGGAGTTTAGCCGGCTGTCTCCCAATTTTGATGCCAAAACGTTGGAGCACAAATACAGGAATCACTTAGTCCTCTTTTCTTACGACTAGCTTCTTGAGGGTGTCCATAATGAGTGAATAACATAATGTCAGATTAATGTTTTTGAATGTCCTTGATAGAAATATTCGGTAAATAAATTAACACCTTATTCGAGGGCACATTGAAAATCTTATTTCATCATCGATATATTAGTACACAATTATCAGTTTTGCGTAAACAACAAATATTCTTTAAGGACCATAATTTTAAAGGATATAAGATAAGTGCTTTCAGAAAACCTTCATGCATAACTTATCGGCAAAAAATTTTTAATTTTCAAAATTATTATTCATTAGTTATCAAATGACGCCTCCATTTTGGAATCTCCTCTCCAATTTGAAGATTACATATGGCGGCAGACTCAGTGTCCTGAAAGTTTCTAACTAAACCTGTCTGATTCTATAATTCAGCATGATTAAGCTTTAAAAAATTCAACTTCGTCGAAATTAATTCCTGTCTAATAAAGGCAACGCTATTTTTTAAAGTGATTAGAGGAAACTGAAATGAGGCATGTATACATCCATCAATTGTGATGGTTTATCAATTGCGAAACATACATCTTACTTAACATATACCAAGAAGAAATAAAATTTGCAGGTGCAGAGATATTTTATTGGTGGATAAAGGGCTTATGAATTTCTACCGTTCTGTTTACACTACCACTTTACTGCAGCAAGGTCTACAAATTATGCTTAACTGTTTGATAGGAGTGCATTTTTTATTTAAAGTCCAAATTGCACTGAGACCCACTGAGCTTTCGATTTTTCAGATAAATCATAATTTAACCGGACTGCATCGGAGCCCTAAATAAGGGAGTTCGGGCACTTCTTTTATGTGTAATTGAAGTGCAATTTCAACAGAAAATTTTTCTGACCTCGAAAACACTTTTTAAAATCTTAAAAATCAATTCTAGCTCCTGAATGCATGATTGTCTTTTCCTGGGAAATAAACCCTTAGACGGAGGTTGAGACCTTTAGAAAAGAAAACTCCACACACACATGTCAAATGCTTATTTTGCAGAAAATGCGGTGAATTTATATAAGAGCGGGTAAATTTTTCGTTTCCTTTTGTCTTGCACGTCCAATGCTAGAGACTTCCCGCGGAAAAGAGTACTTGCAGACCTTTTGGAACGACGTAGCCAAATATGGGATGGGGGATTTTCCTTTATATAGAACCTTACGTTTGTTCTCAGCTTACAAATGAGCGTTTATTTTGGGAGAAATCGTTTTCCCTGTCACATTTTGTTTGAGAACTACTAGAATCACATCGGAAAGGGTAGTGTTCAAAAATTGTTGGTCTGTTTCCCTCTTTGGTTTCATACTTACATCTCCTTTAAAATTTCTTGCGTACTCCGATGCAGTTTCTAATATTCTCTCTATTCTCATTAGTGACTTTTTAACCGTTTTACCTGTTTTCACTGGTGCGATGAAAAAAGAATGATGTTTGTTTCTATCATCCCTTGAAAAAATACATTGTAACACACATTCAAGACTGAAATTCAGTCGGAGCCCAGTTCAGCTATTTCTTAGTTTTTGAGTGAAACTCCAATTCCAGCCGGAGCCCTAAATAAGACAAAGTTCGGTATTTTATTTTATTATTCAACTATTTATCACTAATTTAAAAATTCTCATTTATCTTTTTACATTTAATTTTTAATTATATAATTATTTTAATTTTTTGGCTTATTAATTATTTTACTATTTGTATTATTTTATTATTGATTTTTTTCCTGACGGCCTTCCACATTTCTAATTTTAAAAATTAAGTCCTGCTTAAATTTGTTCTTTTTGGCATTAAAAAGCTGTCACTATTGAAAAAAGTAATTTTTAACGGTAAACTAAGAAATGCGATTCTGGCTCTACATAGAAACCCAGACTCTATCACCAGTTTTATCTTGAATAGGACTTTGAATCAAAATCCACTTACTCATAAAACTCAATATTTTCCTACTGCTGTCCAAACGGAAGATCTTTCGATATGAGATATGGATGCCGCAAATGAAAATTTAATGATAAAGCAATTGTGATTAAAGTTTCGTCATACCAGTTTTTGAAAATTCGCTTTATTTATTGGTTTTAATGTAAAGGTTATCGAACTTAAAAGCTTTTCATTATTGCTAAAAACCTGAAAAGACCAAAAGGCACAGAAAATTTAGGTTCAGTTTTATAAAATTTATCTATTTTGGATCAAAATTCTGCAGAAATCATTTCAGTAATTACCATAGTAATTAAATTAAATGTTTTTAAAGAACTTAACCATTCGTTAATACAGTCAAAAGTTCGTTAACGCCCACTCCACTCTAGAGAACAATTTCTCAATCCCCGAACTATCAAGTGTAACACCAATGCACTGCATTCCCATTTAGTGGACATTCCCAAATTAGCGGACAAAAACCCTAGTCCTGTGCGCTACCAAGCGATTGTTTGTATATTCAAACTAATAAGCGATCTAGAAGATCAAACGGTAATATTCTAAGCAGCGGTAATCTGAATCAACTGAAACATACTTTAAGCAAGTGGTATTGCACAGTACATGAATTTCATGTGAGAGGGCAAAAGCATTATGGAGGGCATTTTGATTTGTTTCTTTGATAAAATTTAGGCCTTTCTGAGTAATGGTCCATATCTCAGACAAATCCAAAGTAAAAAATCTGATGTGGCCAGCATGGACCTCCCGCCAATTCCATGTTAGGATATGCAATTGACGGAATATCACCGAGCTTTAAGTAAACTATCACTTCCGGTTGATAGTTTTTGAACAAAATTTAATCTGTTTATAAACTTTATGGCTTAATGTTAATTATAAATACTACTCATTATTTATCATCCTATTCTCTCACATAATGGGCAATGAGCAATAACTATACGCGCTCATCAACACACATCGAGTTCAAAATACCGCATCTATAGTAGTACATCCTCTGGTCGTGTAGCGTTTGGGATTCACAAATCAATGACTTAACAATTACAAAATTTTTTAAAGAAACGTATCTTTAGAATTCCCGATAGTGTTATCATATTGTATTGCCATACATTTCTTCTTAAATTCGGTACATTACTATATATATATATATATATATATATATATATATAGTGATAAGCTTTGGTGGCAGCATCCTTTTATTTGAAAACTGATTCAACACAAAAAGTGAATTGAAAACATTGAGGTTGAGGCTAATAACATTTAACTGCTTTAGAATGAACTTTTCTCGTTGCATTTAGCATAATTCTAAGAATACATTTAATGCTTGTAAATGTAAAAAGTAGTTCTCAATCACATACCTGTTTTTAATACCAAATTTGAGAACTGTAGGATTACCTCATAGAATACTTTTTTATGAAAGTCTGTTGAGAGCTTCCAGTAAAGTATCATTTCTGGTTTATCAATTTTAACCAAATCTAATATACTGTTTCCATTGATATAAAAGTCCTAAATATTAAAACTGGAAAGGTTTGGTTATATTTTAACATAGTTTTCCATTCAAAACTGCTATGGGCTTCAAGCATTCTGGCGTAAATACAGAAAACAGAAATTGCATAAATGTAAGAGTTATCGTAGGCGAAAAGATCATCACAACATCATTGTAAAAACAATAAAATCGTACTCATTCATTCGTGCTCATTCAATGAAATCTCTTTACCGACTTTTTTTTTACTTCCCCTGCTCCTGTATATATGTTGGCAGGAGGTAAAAAGGGTCTTGAACCAGTAGTATGTAAGTTTATTACGTTTCCTTGCAAATGGGTAGAAATAAATTTTTAATACACTTGGTACACCACTAACTACCCAGCGAACGACTAACATCAGAAGCAATAATTATTCCCCCCTTACATTTCTAAATAATCATGCACAAAGAGGTTACGGTGAATTTTTCAACCAATAAAATGACACACTTCCTTTCCCACGTATTGACTTTTTCTTTTCTTCTAACTCATTTTTAGTTGGAATTGCATGTTAAATTTATTTTTTGTCAACTTTTCATTGATTTAAGAGTTTATGAAAATCAACACAGCAGTCGCATACAATATTCGAAGTTAAACTGAATTATTTGATTATGGTTTATGTCGATGTTTTCTTTTCCTAATGCATCATTCCATTCAGTCAAATACATATAAATAAAAACAATTGATTTCTTCAAAAAACGATTAATTTTTTATTGAAACACAACAGTCTGCAAATGGTTTTCAAAAAACCTGAGACAAATTAAAGAAAAATTTTATCACATTAGGACAAGAGTCACCCCCCTCCAGTTATGAGTCTTATCACCAATCACTCCTTTTTTTAATTCATTCCTTCTTTTTTTTAATTCAAACATTGTAACGCGCTTAAAATCTAATAACCAAAAAATAGCAAAGCGAATCGGTTAAAGTTGATTAAATGAAGCTGATCAAACTTTAGTCTCATTCAAATCTTAAATCACGTTCCAATTTCTTATATTGAAAATCTTTATTTTGGACCATAAATCTAAAAGGATAAACCCTGTTATAATTTTTTATTTGCATTGCAGTGTTTTCATAGTGCTACCGGTTAATCCTGACTTCGAAAGGTTTTAGTAGCAAAGTCTTTCATGATACTCGTAGTATCGAAAGAGATTTATTGTCAATGAATGTTAAAATGTTCTATATTATTTTATCAGTTGGAGGTTATCTTTATTATATGCGGCTTGAGTGTCTGTTTGTCGCCAATAGTTTATTGGTTGCTTGCGTAACTGTAATAGCCAATGGGGTGAAGTTGCCACGGCATTCAAATAGTCCATATACACTATTTCCATATATGCAGTTATCATTTTTTGAATTAAATTATCATGGTACTTAAGAACATTTAAATATTTTAATACATATAATTGTTGCTTATTATGCATTTAACTATATTTGTATATGAATTACCTAGAAACTTGCAAACGTTGAGAAATTAAAGGAGACGAAACCAACTAACGAGTTGTGCGTAGTACATCTCATCAGGTAGGTTTACTCAAACTCTCATGCTAAATATCCTTTCGCGTAAAGAGTTTTAAAATTTTGCCCGATTTTATTCCGATATTGTATTCTAAACTGAATTTTCAGCTGAACGCAAATTGAGCGTGTCAGGGGGAACGTGACATTTGTTTGCATTAGCAATGGCCTGTTTTTGAAATGGTTTATAACTGAACGCAAATTGAGCATGTCAGGGCGAACGTGAACATTTGTTTGCATTTGCAATTATCTGTTTTTGAAATGGTTTACAACTGAATTCAGTAATTCAGTTTGAATTAGCAGACACCTTTGGCCAAATCATTTATTTACAATTTACAATATCTAGAACAGCGGTCATTTCGTATAACCGCCGGGCTTTCTAGTTTTATTATAAGATCTTAAAAATTCAGGCTTTTAAAATAAAATTCGCGCAATATTAAAGTATATTTCTTAGTTCCTCGAGTTATGTTATAAACTCATAACAAACAGGTGATTGCGACTCCATTTCAATCTTTGGAGTAAATATGCGACATTATTTCAAACAATTCAGAATATGAATATGATACACATACAAAGAAATTTTGAACCAATTTTATTAGCTAAGAGAAAATTATGCTTTCTTTTTATTTTGTAGTCATTAGGTTATATCAATGCAGAAATGTGAAAAATGTTCAACGCCCTGACCGCGATTCGAACTCTGGACCTCTCGAATACAGGTCGAATGTGTTTCCACTTACATCATGAAGACACGCAGTAAGGAGGGAGAAAATACCTTATATACTCCTCTCTTTTAAAGGGTGACTTGGGATGAGCAGACCCTAAAGCCAAATCCTAGTGGTGGTAAATCAATTATCCACAACCCTTTAGTTCAGGTGCCATTGTAGAGTCATTAAGTTATATAAATGTAGAAACGTTAAAAATGCGCAGTGCCCTCGCCGGAATTCGAACTGCGGATTTCCTGAATATGAGTTGAGTGTGCTTCCAATTTTCACAGCATCTAACTATCACTGCTTAAGAATCTTCTACATTCTAGCATATCATCACCCATGAAATTAAATTCACTTTCAGCAGTGGATTCAAGGAAGGAAATTTAAACACATTTAATTACGGTTGTTGATACTGAGAAGTTCTGTTTTTCATCTGCTTAAGCCTCAATACTTCAGCGTAAAAGTTTGCAGGATCAATCCCCTCCCCCGTTTTTTGCGTTTTTGTAAGAAAAGTGATAATGTGATAGTCTCTGATTTCTTGGTGTAATAGAAATATTTTCATTTTCTGAAAGAGCATTTGGCAATTTATCTACTAATTTTGTCAAACGAATGACAGCAGTTGCTTCACAATACAAAACAGGCTTGATGCCATCAAAGTTATTTATTAAACTAATAAGACAGAGCTAATTAAAGAAAACTCCCCCCCCCATAAAATCAGCCCATTCTATATATGCCTCTTTCAGAATAATTTTGCAGTCCAATAAAAATTAATTAACCTTTCCAGAACTCCTACTAATTTTGCAGTCTCTGAACCAATAAAAATTAATCATGGACATTTACATTCAATACTACCGGTCCACAATGACACCGGACATAACGATAGTTAAACATGCATACGCATCTCAAATCTAGAAGTTCCAGATTTGTAAGTAAAAAATTCGGAATTGGGGGTAACTCCGGAACACAACCATCCCTGAACAAGGTTGTCAAAATAAGAACAAGAATCTATAAATCTGAGTAATTGTGAACTAAATTTAGCTTTTTAAATTGCAGTTCATTGACCATGCCAAGGGTGTCAGCAAGGAAGTTGCAGAAGAGGCTCTTGACTTCATGAGACCCTACAAAGATGATTTGGGATCTCTATGGGAACAACTGAAGGAAACCGTCAAAGACATTGTCAACAAGAAAGATTAAGGCACTCTTATATGATTATTGATGTAAATTAATAATTTATGAAAATAAATTATTTGTAATACGATCATATTTATATATACGCTTATATAGAACAATTCCACATAACCACATTAACTAGGACCAAAACCCATCACAGAGTTCAGAAAATCCAAATAATCGCGGTTGTCATTTCTTCCGTAACACATATGTATACAGAGATTTTTTTCCCCTTTTCCTCATATTGAAGATTATATAACTAAAGAAAGAAAATCCACGCTAAGTTGATTAGCAATGATTCCAGATAATTTCAATCTTACGTGGAAATGGTCGTTTTAGAAACGATTTTGCCATTACCGATTTACATAATCAATATACCTCAGTACAGTCTGCTAAGAAAAACCTCATCTTGGAGTTTATTAAACGAAACTACTACAAGCTAAACAAAACTACCACTACTAAACTAACTGAAACAGAGCATATTAATAAAATTATTTTGTTAATAACATTTTAATAATAAAACTGCAAATTTATCCAAAAAAATAATACAGGAAAAAAAATAAAGATCTTAAGACATAATTTATTTTAGTATGTTTAACTTTTTCAAACACTGTTAGTGAAAATACATCAAAATGTGAAAACAGATCTTGCATGTAAAAGCGAAGAGAGGGAGTACAAAAGTCCTATTGATAAGAGTTTATGTAATATTTTTTTTTAATACAAGTTCTTTATACAATGAATCCTGCTTATGCAATTGCTTCCTTTTCTTCTAATGAAACCACATTATTAATGACATTATGGAACAATAAAAAAAAAATTCAACAATGTCACCAAATCCTAACTCATGGGGAAGGGTCAAAACTTTGTTTCTTGACAATTCACGTGCTATATTTACTAGGTTATCCAAATAATTCATAGAAGTCTGTATAAAGATAGTTCCAAAAATGGAACGCTGCAGTGCATCGGACAGAGCATGTTTTCCTTAGTCTACTGATGTTTCATTTCCCATTTTTTTCTTTTTGTTTAATTCACTGCCTTTTCAGGAAAACTGATCAAATCACGTGGATTCAGTTATCAAATTCTTCATGTTGAAAGGCTACAATATGCCACACAAATCAAAAATGAATTATTTTTCATTAAGAATGTACAGTGGTGGCCAAAACTGTGGACACTTTTGGAAATTTTTATGTTTTTGAACTTTGTATGCTTATAGAAAACGTTATGTTTCACAAAATGCAAACGTGTATATATCATTTTTAAAAGAATTTATTACTGAATTCAATACAAAACACAAAATTCAATTATTTGCAATACAAAAAAAGTTAAACGATAATAGTTATCGATATACATTAGATAGTGATGATTGCAGTGAGTTATCAGTACTTAGTAGGGTACCCTTTATTTTTGATTACAGCTTCACAATGACGTTTCATTGAGCTGACAAGAGTTTTAAGCTCTTCTTTCGTTATTACATGATGCCAGGAAACAATTATAACCTCAATTAGTTCCCTTTTATTTGATGGGCACCTCATTCGGAAAAGAGTTTTCAAACGGTGCCACAAATTTTCGATAGGATTGAGGTCAAAACTGTTTCCTGGCCATGACAACAATTTAATGCTCTTTGTACGAAACCACTCTTTCGATATTTTGCCGTGTGGCAAGGAGCAGAATCCTGCTGAAAAATAAACGAAGCATTGTTGGAAAAGAGATCTCTGATGGAAGGTAGAAGTTTTGGTTCTAGGATAGTGTCAATGTATTTTCTGGCATTCAGTGTCCCATCGATGACATGAAGGCGACCAATACCATCTGCTGACATGCATGACCAAATCATAGCACTAACTGGGTTTTTCACAGTTGCTTGAATGCAGTCAGGATGTAGCTCTTCTCCTATTCTACGTCTTACATATTATCGCCCATCACTACCGAATAACGGTATCTTAATTTCATCACTCCATATAACTTGTGACCACTGATCATTTGTCCAATTAATGTGTTCCTTTGCCCACTGTAGTTTTTTTTTTTTTTTTTTTTTTTTTTTGTTTTTTTTTTTTTTTTTTCGTTGCTGAAAATTAAGATAAGGCTTTTTTCATGGAAATCTACCGCTCAGTCCACCATCTGTTAATCTTCTCCTGATTGTTCTTGAACTGACAGAAACACCAGCATCATTCAGATCACTTCTGATGGCCGCTGATGACATTTTTCTATCTTGGAGACATAGTTTTTTTATTCTTCTGTCACCAATACATGTGGTGCACCTTTTTTGGCCTTTTTCTTCTTTGTTTTTTATTGAATTTGTCTCCTGATATCGTAAACAAAACTTTCGGACTCCAGATGTAGTCACTGATACACCCACCTGTCTTGCAATTTCAGCATAGGAAAGACCACTTTCTCGTAACATAATAATACTACATCTCTTTCTAGGTGTCCAATCTACTCTTTTATTTGATGTCATTGCTTCTTGGCTAAATATTAAAAATTTTACAAAATTTCTACTTGTAATTGCAGTGTATAAGAAACAGGTCCTCCTTTTACAGAACAAAGCAAAATAATGAATTGTTTCAAGTGCAAACATGATGTCAGCTTCTACTGGCAGTTCCTAACATTTGATTGGTTCTCGGAACAAGAACAGTGATTGGCCAGGAAAGCTAGACATTACAAGCCACTTCATAACTGTGTTTTTTATTTATATTAAAGTACATATAACGTTTTTTGTATTGCAAATAATTGAATTTTGTGTTTTGTATTGAATTCAGTAATAAATTCTCTTTAAAATGATATATACAAGTTTGCACTTTGCGAAACGTAACATTTTCTATAAGCATACAAAGTTCAAAAACATAAAAATTTCCAAGTGTCCACAATTTTGGCCACCACTGTATATTGAATTTTTGCAAAACTCAATTACATGTTTTTTGTATTTTGCAAAAAGGGGTGATGAAATCTATATGTTTAACTAAGTGGCCCAAGGACATGAGAATTGGGTTCCTGGCCCAAAGCCTTATCTTTAACTAGGAAATGTTTGAATAAAACATAATATAAAACATTTAAGAGTTCATAGAAGTTAATGATCATTGAAGGGGATTTTATGTAGAAACAAGAAACAATTATAAATCTATATTTAGGTACTCCTAATTTTATCTCTAAGCCCCACCTACTATGAGACTTGACATGAGTTTTTGAGCACATATTTTAAACATTTAGTAAAATTCAGAGATAATTTTTGATTATTATTGTTAATTAATTGTTATTATTTAATTAAAATTAAAATTGTGAAAAACAGGCATATTTCTTCTTTACCCTTACAGCATCATTATGAATTACTTTTGGTAAATTGTGATGTGTTTTTAAAATAAAAATAGTTATTAATTTTTAAAACAATTTAACTTTTCTCATTTAACTTTTATAAATACACATGCAGAATAAATTTTGAAAATGCAGCATTTATCAAAGTTGAGCATTTCCAATAGAAAAATTCCTCAGATCCTTGATTTTTTCCCCCCAAAATATGAAAAAACTGTAATAAAAAGTCAGTTAAATCAAAGCATTAAAATTCACATTTCCTCCATTTGGTTTCACAATTAATATCTTTAAATTATTTTACTCAGAAATTTGCATACTTAATTTAAATAAAGAGCAATAAAAGTAATAATAGAAATAATAAATTTAATAGATGAAATAGGAAATTTGAAATATAACATGATATCATGAAGTAGACTATTCCCCCCCCCTTGATTTTTTTTTTTTTTTTTTTCTTATTTACCCTTCCAACTTCAATTATTAGCATCATATTTACCATATATGAACAGATAATCAATCAATGTTTCTTTCATCAATTTTACAATCAATTAATTTTACACCAAAAAAATTTCAGCCTCCTAGCTAAATGCTCTTCATGTACACATTTTAGTTATGTATTACTTCCCCCCCACATAAGTTAAAAGCTTTCTTTTGAATGAAATTGAAAAATTAATTATATGTGTTATTTTCCTCTACTTGTTACATTTTAGCTCTGTTGCATCCTGCTTTAAAACACGTGACAACACACTCAAAAATTGAAAACAGTGGATATTTTACTCTTTCTTCGTTAATAAGGGCAGCATTTCCTTGCCTGGATTTTACGAAGGTTCTTTGCTTCCTCTGGGTTCACTCTTCTTGCAAAGTGATAACAGCAATGCCATCTCCATGTGTTCTAACCTCCATTTGTAGTCTATGTATGTCAGTTTGTGTTGGCTCCATTAAAATCTGTTGGTTAGAAATTGATATTCTTTTCAAAACATTAGAACACACTCCGAATAGCAAGGGAGTAAAAAGGGATGGAAATATCAGATGAGCGAAATTAAGATCCATTTGCAAATTTCGGCCAAAATTACAGACTTTAAGGGACATACAAACCCTGTTTATTATTATATAGACTTATTCTAGTTTCAATTCTATTTTTTTTAATTAATAAATGCATACTTGCCTACATATGACCTCAAAAATCAAGAGTTTTTTTTTAAGAAATCAGGAGATTTTTCGCAATGTTAAAAAGACTTTATAAATGATCAAAATATAGTTCTTAATAATGAATTAACTTTAAATAGTTACTAAGTGTTAAATGCAAGCAACACAAAAATACCTTACACATAAAAAACATTTTTAATACTTGCATGGTTTAAAAAAAAAAAAGAAGACACTTTAATCAGTTTTTGTACAAATGTTATGAACAGTGGCAGATTTTGCTTTCATTAAAAAAGAAACTTCATAATTTTGTTCATAGCAATTGCCATGTAGGCCTGCTTTCGCTAATAAAAGTTTTTCTAATGTGTCATCACTAATATTAGACCTAAATTTAACCCTCATTTTCGCAACAACACTGAAAATCTCTCCACTCTGCATTACTATGGGAACTGTCAGATGGCCAACATAATTAGACATTCACAATATTTTAAATTCCCATCAGCACCTTTCAGTTTCAATTAAACTCCACTGGGTGTCAATCCTAGCTGATTTTATAACTATCCAATTTTTTCTAATTGTAAACTGCAAAATTGTGACTGCAGTATATCAGTGGTAACATGAATATCATCATCTTTCATGACTAAATGAAGT